CCAGGAATCGAGAGCCCTGCAGAGGGCACTCACCGAGTATCGGGCCAGGTAGTAGGGGCACCAGCCCTTCCTGCGCCCGAAGGCCTTCAGGTCATCCAGGTTATAGATGCCCGCGGGAATGGGCACCTGTCGGCCAAGGGCATCAAACTCCTGAGGACGCACAGAAGGGAGGCAGGAAGTTAGTCCCCTCTTGCGTTCTAATTCAACCCGACTGTCCCCTTTTCAGTCTCAGTCACCGACTTCCTGGACCGCCAGAGTGCAGGGACAGGAGAGCAGCATGGGGGCGATCTGGGAACAGGGACATTACTTTATGGAAATAGGGGGTGAAGGGTGAAAGCCAGAGTTCCTAGAATCCAATGAATCCAGCATGTCTTTGGACTGTGGGAGGAAGCTGGAGTGCCTGAAGGAAACCCAAACGCACACAGGGAGAACATACAAACTCCATGCAGATAGCACTCCAGGTCCGGAATTGACCCTACCAGAATCACAGTTATTGTCCGACAGCAGTATGCAGCAGTATTCAGAACTTTGGCAGCTAGCACTCTTTGCTTCCTAGGGTCAGTGGGTGAATGCAAGCATGGAGAATCCTCCAACACTGTCTATATCCCTATCCCAGTGGGACAGATATCTGTCCGTATTTCGATCCGGATCTCCCCGTGCACCAGCAGGGATGAACGTCCAGAGAGTGCCAAGCCAGCCCTGTGAGGCTGGGATCCTGCCCTCCACCATCCAAGTGCAATGTCCTCCTTCAGTCTTCTCCTTCACCCCTAGTTTTCTAATCTGAGACATGAAACATCAAACTAAAGAGTACACCACCATCTGCACACAGAATTTGGCTGAGCAATTCTTTAGCAGTCCACGGCAGCAATTAGTACTGAACTTTCAGGTTTAGCTTGGGCACTCATTTTACATCATTTTCACTCCTATTCACCTGAGAGCCCAGATCCTGACGCTACATGCAAAAAAAAAGCACTATATAACAAAATGCTGGCAGCTGCGAGTAGTTCTCGTCTTTCTCATGGCTGAACTCTGTGTATCACTAAGTGCGCCACACCAAGCAGGCACTTCCTGCACAACATCAAGCTGGGGAGCTAAGGCCAAGATGGGAGACCCAGATCTTGAAGGGGGACGATCACTGGGCCTGGGACGCCGAGAACTGGGAGTTTTTCTTTTCCTCTTCCTTCATGGTCAGCTGCTCACACACTCACACTTGAAGAAGGCTCCACGGCCGAAATGTTGTGTTTTCTTTCTTCTTTTCTTCTTTTTTTCAGCATGGAATAAACCTCTTACTTGTTCCTTTGCTGCGATATTGTCAACTGCTGCACAAATCGGCTCTGTGGCCAACTGTGGAGAAACTGCTTCGCTCTCCTTGGGCATTTGTCGCCACCACAAGGCGCGTGCGGCCTTCAGGCATTAAAACAAACCACCGCCTGCGTCAAACGCCTTCCCTGGACTCCTGCAGGGTGAACAGGACAGGCCAGCTGCCGTAGCCCAGACGCGTAGTTCTGCCCCGCGTCCCCGTGAGACCAGGAGATCTTCGACTTCCTGTTAACAAACCCGTTGAAAATAAACCAGAGACCCCCCCCCAGCTCTGCTTCTCCCCACCTGAGCCTGAGCAGCCCCCCCCCCAGCCCGCTCACCTCGTAGAAGCGGCAGGAAGGCAGGGAGGGGTTGCCGTGGCGCTGGGCGCGGATGTACGAGGCCGTCAGGCTGTGGCACTTCCCATCCACCTCCTTCCCGAATCGCAGCGAGCTCACCTGGGCGGGACAGGGAGGAGGAGAGTCAGGGGAGCGGGACGGGCAGGGGGCAGGGGGGGCAGGCGGCAGGGGGCAGGTGGCAGGGGGCAGGTGGCAGGGGGCAGGGGGGCTAGGCGTCCTGACCTCAGGGTGCACACAGAGGTTCTTGCGGGAAGACAGGGCCAAGGCCAGGAAGTTGCTCTGTTTGCCCGTCTCCTTGGCGTAGAACTCCATCAGCTTCCTCAGCTCCTCGACCACCTGAGACACGGGGGGAGAGCCGGGCACAGGGTGAGGAAAAGCGCAGCTTAAAACCCGGCGGCCGTTTCCAAAAAATCTGAA